GGCTTCCCTTGCAGCACTGCAGGTGCTGTGGAAGCCGCCTAGTCCTGCTGCTCGCGCTGTGAATGTTGTCAGAGCAGTTCATGAAACTCAGCAGTACAGCCGTGCAGGCTAGCTGCATTCTGACTTACCAAGTCCATTAACATTACTGCAGTTCACTCAGAATCGTGTGTTCCACTCCTGTTTTACAAAGGAGCCATCGCTTTTTGCTGTCGCTAAATTACTGGAAACGGGACTAGTTAACATGCACAGGATTGAGATTCTTTGGAGACCTCTTACTGGCCATCTTCTGGAGGTAACTGCTTGCTTTCTTAGTCATGCCAGAAGTTAATTTGTTAACTATTTTGACTAAAAATTAATTTGTAATTAATTTTTGATAATAAAATTCTCATGGAAATGCATTTCCACAAGTATTAAACAGAAAAAAAAAAGTTTAATCTAAATCCTATTTAGATGTTTTATGCAGTTTGCTTGTACAATTTGAATACATCACTGCTTGAATTTAAAGGTGCTTTTAAATACTTAAATCCCAGTATTTTATAGCTCTTGCTAGCTTTCTCTTCATGGTGCTGTCTGTTGATGTTATGTTTTATAAACACAGTGAAAAATATTAATTTACAATACTTCAGATACGATTTATAATCAGTAAAGCACAAAAAGGTTTTATATTGGCTTCACATTGTACAATTAGCTAGGGGAACTGTAATATACATTTTTTTAACTTTGCCAAATAGATTGAAGCCATTGGATTCCCTAGACGTTTTCTTTTGTGTGTGTTTTTTGTTGTTGTTAATGGTAAATGTAAATTAACAGTTTGATTGGTCTCATAGAAACAAATCTTGTATTTCAGGTGTATTTCCGTTTTTTTGAATAAGCTTTCCTATGAAAAATATGCTTCATTGAGGAAAAAGTCAAAATTTTTGAGTTTGAATTGGAAACTAAGAACAAGTGAGGGTCTGTAGTTGTTTTCAGCCTGTTCAATGATGTTTAGAAGAGTGGGAATCGAAGATGAGGTTGAATTTTTAAGTGGGTCAAGGAGAGAGGTCCCTAAAAATAATGGACACTTTCTATAAAGTATTGGATATTTTAACAAGTAGATTGTAATAAAATTATTTCAAGCAATGTAAAGGATTGGTCATCTCTAAATTAATTTGTGTGAATCAGCTCGTCTCCATGTACTCTTACCATTTCTTCAGAAGAGAAAATTTGGACATTTAGGAGTCCCAACTGCTTGAAGTAAAAGCATATCTTCCTCCACCCCCACATCCACATCCTGGGAATTCATGTTCCCTCTAGGAAGAGTAAGTTTTAGAGAAAATACCCATTTTAAAGCGTTGTCAGATTTCCTTTTAAATCTAAGTCTTCAAGGAACTTTTTCTTTTCGTTCTTTTCTTAGGGCTGAACTCTCCTCAGTGGTAGCCAGTGACAGGACAAGGGGTAATGGGTGAAAGCTGAAACACGGGAAGTTCCATCTCCCTGTGAGGAAGAACTTCTTTCCTGTGAGGGTGGCAGAGCCCTGGAACAGGCTGCCCATGGAGGTTGTGGAGTCTCCTTCTCTGGAGACCTTCCAAACCCACCTGGATGCCACCCTGTGCCACGTGCTCCCGGTGTCCCTGCTGGAGCAGGGGATTGGACTAGATGATCTCTAGAGGTCCCTTCCAACCTCAACCATTCTGTGATTCTGTGATTCTTTTTTAATATGGAGCAAGAGAAATGAGTAATTCAGGAGAGTAGCTGTTACTTGTCTGCATCGTTTTGTTTATTGTTTTATTTTAACATGAAGCTAGAAACTGTGTTTCAGCCTCCTTCATGTTTTGACTAGTGGCTAATGAAGAGACTATCCTAAACCACCTGCCTATCATTATGGCACTGCCTCAGGCCTTGAGAGGGTCTGAATTGTCACATCACCTAAGCTAGGGCTGGAAGGGCAGGTGGAAATAATCGTTTAGAGTTCAGTCGGATTGTACAACTTTTTTTAGTCTTGTTTGACAGAAATATATCAGGTTTGGCAGTACAGTTCATATTATGTTTGTGTATGTGGAGTGCATTTGTTTCGCTGTTCTGCAACAGGTAAATAGCAAAACCATTAGGTTGTGTTGATGAGGATGCAGAGAACAAAAAGAAACAAAAATGCATTTGAAACTTAAGCAGATGTTCATTGTTCACTATTATTTTGTCAAGCTTTTGAAATAATGATTTGTAAGTCTTGTTTTACATTCACCATATAGTTACTTCTTGTGTTTGAGCATATTTAAGAACACATGCTTGGACTGTGGTTAGTATCTTGCGTCTGCACTTGGTATGTTAAACTGAATGTGAAAGGTTGAAACTTGAATTTTACAGTATCATAAGGCCAAATTAATCCTAAGAGTTTCAGGCATGCATTGGATTTTTTAGTACTTTTTAATATATTATAAACAAAGCTAGCAGTTAGTACATTGACATTGGAGAATGTTTCTAATTGAACTACTGTGATTTTCATTTTGCTTCCTTCTGTCTTTCACTGCTTCCTATTGCTTCCTTATTCAGAAGGTATGTCTGTCCAAAAGACAACTTTTCTTTTTGACTATCAAACATAATGCTTATAATTTAGAGAACTGCCATATTTGCTCTATTATTGTATAATATTTTATTATAGCTGTTTGTAAAAGTCTAACTGATATATCCAGTTTTTATATATAAAATATATTCAAATCTTAATTAAATAAAATGGCCTTACACAAAATACTGTTTTCTTTTCAGGTCTGTCAGCATCCAAACTCCAGAATGAGAGAATGGGGAGCAGAAGCTTTAACTTCTCTTATTAAAGCAGGACTGACGTTCAGCCATGATCCACCTTTATCACAAAATCAGGTATAGTAAGTTTATGAAGAGCTGCTTTACTTTTCTGGAATTTACACAACATCAATATGAAACCAAAATCTTTCCTAGGGGAAGTGTTCTACAGTTCGGCGAGCAGGTGGTGTTCACACAGCAATGGTACTGTTGGATTTATAAACCCTAAAGCTGTAACGTTCGGATGTACCTATTGAGAGTGAGCTCGTGGCCTCCAGTGAACCCTCCCTGCTTTCTTTTTGCAAGTGCCTAACAAGAATGATGTTGCTTTCACATTGTGCCCATTCATTAAAAGAAGTTGTGGATCACCCTCATGAGTGCAATACAATTTCAGAATGTTCGGAAGCAAATATATGATCTAGTGGCTAGCAAAAATTACGTTTTCTTACCTTGTAAATTACAGCTAATCAGCCTGTTTGTAATAAGCATCCCAATGTTCTTGCTGAGTTTCAGTGGATGTCGTTTCCAAGGTGTGTTTAGTAGGACGCTTAGTCTAGCCCTGCTGCGTCGCTATGAAGTTTCATGCTGGTTTTATACCAGCTGTGAGCGCTTGCTGCGGCTGGCAGTTACCTGGTCCCTCCCTGAAGGACCTGGATGATAAAAAAAAAAAAAATACAAGTTACCTGCTGAGATCCTTTATAAACAGCTTTTTTTAAGAAGATGCAGTCTGCCACTGAATTTCAGTTGTTTAGGTAACTTTAAAAACCTTGTAAGAATCTTTGGTTGGCACTGTGTGGTTTTATGTACTATATATAAAAATAATTAAAGCATATTCTAAAGCTAAAAAATATTGTTTACTTTTAGAGACTGCAGCTACTTTTATTAAATCCACTGAAGGAGCTGTCAAACATCAGTCACCCTGATATCAGGATTAAGCAGTTGGAATGTGTGCTACAGATTTTGCAAAGCCAGGGTGACAGCTTGGGGCCCGGTTGGCCACTGGTGCTCGGAGTCATGGGGGCGATCCGAAGTGATCAGGGGTAAGTGATTTGAAAAAAAACAATGAAGATAACAGCAGAAAGAATTCTGCTTTTAGTGTTTTACGTAACCACTCTGTTAATAATCATATTTTTTATTGTTGTTCTTAGCTTATGAACAATTTTACTCAACAGAAAACTAGTTTTGGTATTTTTTCCTGTAGCGCATGTGTCTTTTAGTGAACTGATCTTTCAGAAAACTAAGGTATTGCTATATTCTGCCTTGTCCCTTGGTCAGCGTGCAGCATACACCAAGGAGTATTGGCACTTCTTGTGCCAATTCAGTTTCTCAACCATATGGTGGACACATCTCTCGTGCCACCAAAGAATTCTGCATGATTTAGCTGTTTATTTTTCTCTCTTGTTTTTTTTTTCTTAAAGATTTAGATCAGTATGTGTCTTCCTCTGAACTTTATTTTTATGTAATTATTTTTTTACAAGTGCCATCTTAACCATGCTTTTTTGGTACATGTTGCTTCCACATTTGTTAGTGTTCTGTGGTTGCTGTCTCATTTTCACTGTTGTTGATGGATTCTAACCAGCACTGACCTATTCTCAAGAGAGACTTCAGATCCCTTCAGACCTCACATCTCTACCTTCTTGGCAAATGTCTTATGATGTTACCAAGGTCTTGTGTTGTATCTTAGTCTCATAGAACAAAGATGATAGAATGTCCTTCAACTATGTAGCACTGTTTTTCCACATAATGTCAACTGCAGTAGGAAAAAAAAATAGGCAAACCACTTCTTTTCCCTGGAAAACAACTGAACATGTTGCCTTGCCTGAAGTTATGATCACAAGATATGGGCACTCTTGCCATGTTTTAAATTTATCGATCATTAGACTTCCTTTCCAAGTGTTTTCCTTCTGATCAGTGGGCATCCTGGTTTCCAGAGTAGAGATTCATTTGTATTTCTCTTGCCAGGCTGCCAGAAGATGGTGTTTGAAGCACCAGTGAAACTTCAGTCACTTATTGATTGCACCATAGTAGCCTGCCAAGCAAAGAGAATTCTTTCTTTGAAGAATTTCTTTTCAGTGGGATATCCCTGTCTCTCTCAGAATTGATGAATAAAGCTGTAAATGATTTCTAAAGCTAAAGTTAGGTTTCTTGCATCTGTATTTCCTCTTTTTGTGTCCATTCATAGCATTAAGAGCAACCTAACATTTTGAAGAGCTGTCTGGCAGTTGCCGTTTGTGTGAGGAACTTTGCAGCCTTCCTCCAAACGCACAAGTGTATCGCAAGGAACCTAATTGGGAAATGAGCTGGCTTTTGAGGTTGTTTTAGTGGCCTTGCTTTTGAAGATGAAAAGAGAACTTTCAGATGTGTTTCACATAATAAATGCGTGCAATGAAAAGGAGGGAAGGTAGTGTCTGAGCATTTCCTCCTTGAATATGGCAAAGAGAAATCCTTTGCCTTTCAGCAGTAGGATGGGGGTCTATCTGTAGTCCATGTTTTAACAGAGAGCAATTAGCTGCACTGTTATTGTCCACCTGAGGCTTCTTGTGCATTCCCCTCACTTCGTCTTGTGTTGCCTGTTGCAATAGAGTAGAAATGGAGACACAGTACAGGCCCAGTGGTGATTTTTTTTATGTTGAATTACTCAGAAAAAGTGGTTCTTTTATTTAACGTTCTTAAGTATATAACTCTCACACCTGTATTCTATCTTTTTTTCCTGGAATATATATTCTGAAGGACACAAGGTTTCTATATTACAAGCCTTTGGATTTTTTTTTTGTAGGTTGAATATTAGACTTTTTTTTTTAATTCTGTAATGAATTTTAACGTAGCTGCAACTTTTTGCTGTCCTTATTTTGTGTTATTTGCACTTCACCACACATTTTTGATTTCTGCATTTCCTCTTTTACTAAGCAAGTTTTTGGTTATAGATGATCATCCTGCTTGTGAGAGCTTCTGTCATAAATCTTTTCCCCACTGTAGTGTTATTCTGTGTTTGAATCCAATTCTGAAACTGAAATATTTTTGGAAGCTATATTTAGAGGCAGAGATTTTCAAAAGACTTTGTCTAACGTAGTACTGTACTAAAGCAAGTACGATCATATATACAAGCAGCCATTAGGCTGGCACACATTTTTTGCTAGAAAGTAAAGACATTTATTTTACCTTTCCATCTGGTTGGCATACTCTGAGCAATTTTGTAACACCTGAAACTGTTCAGAGCGACTTATTCTTTGGAAGTTTATAATGCTTAAGCTTAAGCTTTCTTTTGCCTAATGTGGTTTTTTTAGAATATCTTAGCTTACACCTTCAAATTAACAAGTCCTAGAGGTTCAGAACAGAGAAGCAGACTTTGCATAAAAAAAACTACATGAAGACTGTTGGAGGGTCTTCAGTAGTTAATATGACTAAAATACTTTATCAGAATTTGAAGCTTCATGTTCAGCTTTATATTGTATCTCAAAAAAAAACTAATTTAAAAGTATTTCAAATTCATCATGAAAACTTTAAAAGGATTTTTTCTTTTTAAATAATTCTATATTCTGAGGTATTGTATTCAAAAAGTCTCTGTGCTCTTGAAGAAATTTGAAATGAGTGTGTGTGTGTTGTCTTTTTTCTTTCGTTTTCTTAAGAGAGTCCTTAATACGAACTGCATTCCAGTGTCTTCAGTTGGTTGTGACAGACTTTCTTCCAACAATGCCATGTACTTGTCTGCAGATAGTTGTTGAAGTTGCAGGAAGCTTTGGACTTCACAATCAAGAGCTAAATATTAGCTTAACTTCAATTGGTTTGTTGGTGAGTTTTATATTAACCTACAGTGATGCTGCTTCTGGCTTTTGTTTTCTTATTTTTTTTTAAATGAAAATTAATCTGTAGTCTGTTCTACAAATGAAAGCCAAAACCCGTTTTCTGAATTATTACAGAACTCCCTTTGCACTCATTTTAAATCATACATAACCTGAGTGAGCAGTTTAATGCTGTGTAACACCATGGTTATGTAAAACAAATAGCACTGTGTTGCAAACATGCCCACCAATAAATTATTTCTAATGTTTTTTCCCTTTCTAGTCGTTCATGTATAATGATGTACTAAGTTACAGCTAAGAAATATGCTTTCTGCATCTTGCAGTATTTACATGCCGATCTTCTTCAATGAGTGTGTTTGATGTACTTGGCAAAATACTCCGAAACATAAAAAACATAAATTATGTATTTCATTATCATTAAGAACATTTCTGTGAGAATACCTTTGTTTTCTAACAATATGTTTTCTTTATTTTGTAGTGGAATATTTCAGATTATTTTTTCCAAAGAGGTGAAATAATTGAAAAGGAGCTAAACAAAGAAGAAGCAGTTTTGCAGAAGCAGGCAGAGGAAAAGGGAGTGATGCTGAATAGACCGTTTCATCCCGCGCCGCCGTTTGATTGTCTCTGGTTGTGTCTCTATGCCAAACTCGGGGAGCTCTGCGTGGATCCCCGCCCCGCAGTCAGGAAGAGTGCTGGGCAGACCTTGTTTTCCACCATTGCTGCGCACGGAACTTTGCTGCAGCATTCGACGTGGCACACGGTGATATGGAAGGTACAACTGGCGGGTTGCAGTGTTGTGGTCGTGTTTTAAAACAGCATGCCCTTTTAAGTGTTTTTAGACACAATGCATGGTAACAGAAGTTGCCTCTCTGTCTCCTGTATTTTTAACAGCACTTTCTTTGGCTCCTAAAGAGGCTCCTAAAGCCTCTTGTGAAACATTGTTCTTGTACCTTGGTTATTTCTTTCTTGTACCAATGCAGTATAAAAGGGATGCTCCTTTCCTGCACAGATAAATTACTCCTTCCTTTGTGTGAAAATCTGGTGACACTTGAGGGTCGTGTGTGTGGGTTTATTTGATTTATCAAATGCCCTTTTCTGGATCATGGTCATGTTAGTGATGGCTATGGATAAATTGGGCTGTAGCTGAATCAGCTGTTGCCCATTGTGTCTGAGCCCTATTTCAGTTCAATGGATGTTGGCCTTTCATCAGTACTAGCACTATTCTCCGTGCTTCTGACCATGCTGTTTCTCAGCCTTCTTAGGTGAACGCTCGTGTAACCCTTACCTGATCATCTGGCTGATTGTTCCTCTTTGCTGTTGACGAGGCTGTTTAGAATAAGGGAACTCTCCAGGTTTCATAATGATATAAAGGATAATAGAAAATAAATTTCTTATTTTCTTTTTATTTTAGCAGGAACACAAATGTATTATTTCAAGACTTGCTTTTTTCCCCCTTTTTTGACTTTTGCAGGTTTTATTTCACCTGTTGGATAGGGTTCGAGAATCTTCTACCACAGCTGACAAAGAGAAGATTGAATCAGGAGGAGGCAACATCCTCATCCATCATTCAAGGGATACAGCTGAGAAACAGTGGGCTGAGACATGGGTATTAACCCTGGCTGGAGTCGCAAGAATATTTAACACCAGGAGATACTTATTGCAGCCTTTAGGTAAAGTTGTTGAAAGATACAATAGTGTACTTTTAGATCCATATATTTTTTTCAACTAGAGTACTGGGAGTGCTTTCTGTTGTGTCGTGCCTCAAATAAGATGAAAATCATGCTGCTCTTAATCCGTGTTCCTTAGAGCCCAAAATTTGAAGTATCAAATTCATCTTCTATATCACTTTAGCTGAGATTAAATCTCACTGTTCACAGTTTTATGTACCAAGTAATTTTTGTTTATCATAGCCTGGTAACATAATAATCAAAAGATCAGAAAAATTTCCAGAACCTATTTTTCCTCTTTTAAGGTTACAGCATATGTGCCTAGAACTCCAGTAAAGTCAGTGGAGTTAAAAAAAAAAAAAAAAAAAGTCAAAACTATCAGTCAACCATTTAAAACGGAAGAAAGGGAATTTCTTAAAGAAAAAATGAGACTCATTCCATACAAGTTGTTATGGTTATGCTCTTTCAAGTGTGGTGGTTTGATTGTTTCTCCCCTCCTCATGCCCCATTTAACCACTGTTTCAATCTTAGACAAAGCTGTTAGTTTCAGTTACGATGCTGTTGTCCTTTCCCCAGCTAAAGGCCACTGAAGTGAGCTTACCTCTTCCTTAATTTTTTTCTCCACTTTTGTACTCTTTATTTTCTCTTGATACTGTTACTTCTTTCTCTTCACTTTTTTTTTTCAAGTTCCTATATTTTCTTTCTGATAAAAATTAAGCATCAGGTTATTTACCAAGATATTGTTATCACTTATTGCTAAGTACAATTTGAACAATGTAAATGTATAATGCAGTATCACCTCGAGTGAGTTTTGCTTAGAACAGATGTTTCACTTCAGTATAGATATCAGAGATGTTATGATATATTTTCAAAACAATTTGGTGTTTTCACCGTGTCATAGTATGTCGCTAATATATGCATAACTAAAAATGAGTGTGTTTTTTTTTCTTTTAATATCATGGACTTTGGCTATTACTGATTATAGATACCAGTATAACAGTTGTGAAGATCATCAGTTATCTGAAGAAAAGCAATGGATTTGAGACTATGTTAAACTAGAGATAAAACTGAATGAAAAATGAAACATTGCAGGGAAGCAGTAATTATTGAAAACTGGTAATTAGTGGCATAGAAAATTTAGGGCTAAATTTAATGAAAATCTTAAATCAACTGAAAAGGATAAAAATTTTATATACTCCCAAATGAAATCTTACTCTAGAGTATAATTTGCATAACATTTTAAAATTAATTCCTTGTAAATTGCATGACTATAGGCCTGTCTCTGTATATCTTGTATGTGCTTAACTCTTTCTGAAATCAACAGACACTTGCTATGCATAAGAAAAATCTGTTCAAGACTCCAGAATAAAGAAAACTTAATTCTCTTAGTGGTATGTGATGCATAGATAGAAGATTTTGGTATAAGGAGTGATCTTATTCCTCGTATTTGTGTGTTTGCCTATTGCATTAACTCTCTTTGGTTACAGTTGAAGTATTATACTCTGAAAGCCAGTGAAGCAATCACCTGACCTCAGGTCAAAGAAAAAAAAAAAGCCAGCCCCAAGTTGATTTATTATTATTTTTTTATTATTATTAATAGGAGACTTTTCCCAAGCCTGGGATGTTCTTCTTGATCATATCCAATCAGCAGCACTCAGCAAAAATAACGAAGTTTCCTTGGCTGCTCTGAAAAGCTTCCAGGAAATCTTGCAGATTGTTTCTCCTGTCCGAGACTCCGAGAAGCCCGACACGCCACCCGCTATCAACGTTTCTGTGCCTGTGGTTGTGGGGACAACAACTGCCACTAGTCTTGGCAGATCCTTCATGAGAACTGACTCCATAGGCGAAAGAATTGGAAAATATAATGGATCTGAACCCCCTATAATAACAGATGAAATTGAAGATTTGAATCTTTGGTGGGCAGCCTGGAACAGCTGGTACAGGATTGGCTCAGAAAGTACAAAGCCTCCAATTACTTGTGATAAATTGACTTTCATTCCCAGTCAGCCTTTTCTTACAGCTTTAATTCAGATATTCCCAGCTCTTTACCAACACATCAAAACTGGTTTCAGCATGGATGATCTCCAAAAGCTGGGTGTCATTTTACACGGCGCCGTTTCAGTTCCCATCAGCTCTGATGCTTCTCCTTTCATCCTTCCATCCTACACCGAAGCAGTTTTGACAAGTTTACAGGAAGCAGCGCTTACAGCCTTAGATGTTTTACAAAAGGTAATAATGTGATTTCAAATGCATAGTGAAGGGTAAACCATGTCGTGTCTCAGTTCTTCTGCTTGGAACTGCAGTGTAGTGACTTAAACATTAATTGTTTAATTACTTTCAATGGCACTGAGTGTTCTAAAGCAGTTGGAACTCCATTCCTGGTGCAGCCGTCCCCAGCTGCTCTACCTAAAAGTGAATGGTGCAATCTCTATCAAAGGCACTTTTGCTTGATTGAAGAAATGCCTCAAATGTTTCTATTGCTTACTTGCATTAAAGCATTGTATTTTTATGAGAATCTGAAAGGTCATGCTGTAAACAAAATGTAGAAGAATGGAGATCTTGATTTGAAGATCTTGATGTTAATGAAAAACAAACAAACAAAAGATCTTGGGTAAACCACATTCTTACCTCTTAATCACCAGTAGCTGAAGGATAGTGCAGCATCTTGCCATAATACAGAAATTAGGGTGACTATAATTTTTCTGGAACTATGAAGCTTCTCTTTGCAGTAGTGATTCCTTCAGAATATGTTTTTGTGCAAAAGAAATAACATTGTTATATCACGTATTTAGTTCAAGCATTGTTTCAAAGAAAGTATTTGGGAAATGCTGGAATTAAAACTACCCATGTAACCTGACTTCATCCTCTTAGGGCTTTCGTGTGTTCTACTTAACTGTGCAGCCATCACTATGCTGTCTCTTTTTTCCTTCCCCTTCTTCAGACAGGACGCTGCCTCATTCAGCTCCCAGCACACACGGTGGCTACTTAACAAGCAGCAATTGAGGATCTTGTTTTCTCTGCGCTTAGCGTGGGGTGGCCTGTCTCCAGCAAGGCAGAATCATCATCCTGCTGTCATTCCTGTAGTATGCATGTTTAGCAAATATTCATAAGTGCCTTTTGAGAACAGAGCTAGAAGTTGTGTAGAATAGAAGCTGATACCAAATCTCTGTTTTAGAAGTGGGGTTAGAAAAATAATACAGAGTTTTAAGACCAATCGTATTTGCTAAATTTTAGTCCTAACCTAGAAGTCTTGAAGCCCTTTCCTGCAGGCCAGTGTTATCTAGGTCCTGCTCTCCCCTCCTTCCCTTCTTCGCTTCTCTCCTGGTTTCCTCACTTAATCCCTCCTCAGTTTTCTGTGTTTCTTTTCTAGTTATCTTGTCCAGATGTTTTCAGCTCCCAAAGCCTTATCAAGATTTTAAACTATTTTAGTTGAAGTTTCCTTAAAATAAAACCAACAAACAAACAAACAAAACTTGAAAACCAGACGCATCCATCCGCAGTCTAAATGGGTAACATGGTATTCTGAAAATATGGGCTTAAAATTGGATGTCTCGGGTACTCTAAGCTTATTTAATATTTCCTGCTGCACTGTAGTTATATTACTTACAGAGCAGCACTAATGTTATTTAAAAAATAAAATGTATTTTGGTCTTGGTCAATCCTGTGAAGTCAGCTGATTTTTCCTCTAGGTCATGTAACACATTGGAATTAACACAGCAAGGCAGCCAGCCCGGGCTCGTGGGGAGCAAGGCCATCTGTAAATTAGTTTTGCTGGACACAACAGTCTCTTTTTCCTCTGTTGAAATGAATGAGCAATCTGAAGCGTACATAGAGAAGCTACTCTGATAGTTAAAGCTTATGTTAATATTTGCCCTGTTCTTTTAAGCAAAATGTTCATTAAATGTTTGCATATGGATTCAGATGAAGTTTCCTTCTTTGCTGTAATAGGAAGGGCTGGGCCGGCTCTGGTTTTCTAAGAAATTCTGGAACAACTTTGGAATTAGAGCATGAAATTTTTCTCTTCGTCTTTTGGAGAAAAAAAAAAAAAGAGGAAGCTTGACTGTTTTAATAAAGAGATTTTATGATGTGGCTGTCTGCACTTGCAAAGGGCTTTATCAATATCGAACCAGAAGAGAACTTTTGCTCTCTTCCTGGACTTCTGTGTTGAGCCCCTTTTAGACCTTTTATCTTGTTCTTTGTTTTCTTCATATTCTTCCTTAGAACTTAGATTCTTTGAAGGTTTTTATTGCTGTAACCTCTCATTTTCGAGCATGTAATTGAGGTGCAGACAACTTGAATTCTGCCACTCTCGGCAAGATGGGCATGAGCCTGCTGTTTAGACACACCAGCAGTGACAGTAAAGGCTTAGTCACTAAGATCTGTAAAAATGACAGTTGTTCATGGTAATTGTTGCAATAATAGTTGTAAAATAGATCTGGACTATTGAAAAAATAATCATGGAATGCTTTCCAGAACACATTTCTAAAACTACAGTCCCAGACCCAGGGGACTGGAAAAAAACAACAAACAACAATCTGCAGAATATATTGTTTATGTTGCAGCATATTAATTCTTGGTTTATAGATATCTCTTTATTTAAAGATATAAACTAATGAACTTAATACAATAGTTACTAGTCTGTTTTATAAGCAGCTCTTAATACTTTCAGCATCCTTAGTCACACGCTATGCCAGGCTGCTCCTGAGCTCCTCATGTGCTTAGGTAAATAATTACCCTGTGTAAGTAGTGCCACTTATCTTCAATAATAAAGTGGAAAAGTACCATTAATGGCAAATATATTTTGATATTTTGCCATTAGAAATATTAAGATAGTCATCTGTAGGTGCTGTCAAGGTATTCTTAAAAGATCTGCTTAAGTCAGTTACTTTTGTGTGAGAGCAAAGAAGAGATTTGTGGATGTTCTTTTTCTAATCCATGCGTCCATGGAATTGTTTGTTTTTTCTTTTTCTTTATTTTTTTCTTCCCTATATGTAATCTTGCATTAAAAGAAAAGTGTTTGGCTCAAGCCCTGGAAAAGCATCCTGTCCTTTCAGGAAAAAGGAGTGTTCCGCCACGTTCATGATGTTGGCTAAGGTTCCTGAGCATTAGGCCCACACCAGGCCAAAAACCACACGTTTCGTACAGAAAGCTGAGGAAAAGGGGAAAGGCTGTTAAGGCTTTGGAGAACACCCTGCCATAGGTTGTAGCTTGCAGCTTGGTCTTCCCTGCCCCTGCTGCTTGCTCCCTCTCGGGGCTGGGATCTTGGGCTGTTTGCTGCCCTCTGCCCTCGTAGCTCATATAACATAGCCCAGCGCGCGACCTGCGCCCAGGCGTTTCTGCATCTTCGCTGTGTTTGGCTGCAACAGGTCACAGACAACCTTGCATTAAAAGATTCCGACCTCTCTCTCGAGAAAAAAGACTGCACAATCAAGGCTTTTATTTATGGAGCAATAGGGGTTTTTTGTTGTTTTTTGTAGCTGTGAGAGGAAGGACTTCGGGAGGAAGAGCAAAGCATTTAGTCTGAAAGAAAATAACTGGAATAACTTCATAGGATCAGACTTTGCATCAGACTTCGAAAATAAATGCTCTTGCTTTGCCTAGGGATTTGAATTGCAGCAGGAAATCATTAGTTTATGACAACATGATATTCTGTTGACATCTTTGAAGTATACCCCTCCTAAAATGTTTTCCATCTTAAAGCAAGATTGAGTTTCAGCTAAGCTAAAGCCATATCATTTTTACTTGATTTATGTTTCTTCCTGTAAGATAATTTAGACCACTTATGAAAAACCCTCTATGAATTAACTTCTGAGATGTAAATTTTCCTCACATCCTGCTGTGATGGTACAGCAGAGTTTGTGTGGAAAACATATATATTCTATTAGTCCAAATGAGATGCCTGTATTTCCTATACTATATATAGCTAGGCATCTTGCAACATACTTTGGTTTAATGAAATGACAAAAATATTTTTTCTTCAACCTGTTAAAATTATGCACCTTGTTTTATAGAGCCTGGTCTTACATAGTCCAGTTTCTGCAGGGTAACACTATATTCATCTTACATTTATACAGTCAGTTTATTTTAAAATTGTTTGTGTTCTTGCAGCTTTAGAATTAGGCTGGCGCAGCAAAATCAAAATGGTGTGAGCTAAAACCAGTAGATTTCATAGTTAGCAAAAACAGGTAAGAGACTGATAACTTGTATTTTTTATAATATATTCCCTTTTGTGTTGCTGGGAATTACTCTTTAGAAGTATTGAGGCAAATTCTTCAAAGGTGAAGCTCAAGATATGTATTAACCCTTCTTTCTGTTTTTTTTTTTTTTTGGTATAGGCTATATGCATGGGCTCAGAGAATATGCAGATAATGTACCCTGCAATCTTTGATCAGCTTTTGGCATTTGTAGAGTTTTCCTGTAAGCCCCCACAGTATGGACAGTTGGAAACCAAACATATTGCCAATGCAAAGTATAATCAGGTAATTTCTAATAAATCTCATTTCTTTTATTTGGCTTCTGCACACAATTCAGCATTGGATAGAGATTGCTTAGGAAACTACATTTATTCCACGTATAAAAGCTTGCTGTGTGTGTTGTGTAATGTGTAATGAGTGTTTGTTGTTGTTGTTGTTTTCTTACGCTCTTCTGTGCCCTTTGAATTCTACCTTCCTTCACTTTTTGTATTCCTCCCTGTAGGAAAAGTCTTGCATGGACACTATACACACATTCACTCTGCCTGAATTTACCCAATGAATTCATCTAAAAAAACCCTTGTACTCTATTTGGTAACAATTTAATAGAAAGGCATGATAATTTTGAATGGAGGTAATTCCTTCAAGCTGCCAATTTTTGTATTGCACGCGCTGTAGAGAAGCGGAACGTGTTCAATAGTTCTTTAAATCTGTCTATTCTGCCCTTCACTAAGCATGACAATCTCAATCAGTGTAATCTAAGAGGTAAATGTTATGTATGTATTAATTCTTCTTATTCTGTTTGTCCTGCAACACAATGGAATCACACTAGATACAACTATTTGCACCGGTGAGTTAATTTCCTTAAAGATTGTCCTAAAGTAGTTGTCTTGCATAGATTGCAACATTTCTCCTACTTGAATGTACTTTACTTTATTGTGGAGTACATTGGCAAAGTTGGACTACATTTTTTTTTAAATTTTGTTGCTTGGACTATATTTTTAGCAAACCTTGCATGCATTAAACAGAGAGCTTGATTCAAAATACACCTTTACTGTTCCTTAACTAGTACATCTTAATATGCAGCACTAATTTTTCTTTTTTTTTTTTTCCCCTAGGCTGAATGGGTAGCATTGAATTATGTACCGTTTGCAGAGAGATCATTGGAAGTTGTTGTAGACTTGTATCAAAAGACTGCTTGCCATAAAGCTGTGGTGAATGAGAAGGTTCTTCAGAACGTTATTAAGGTAAAGTGGTTGGGTTTTTTTGTTGTTTTTTGGGGGGGTTTTTTAATGCTTTTTCATGAAGATTGGGAGGTGATTTTTTTTCTGATGATGTTGTTAAGCTGTACATTTTGTACTTTAGCTAGATAATACAATAATGTCAGC